CTCACTGAGCTCAGCACTGCTGCAGAGTTCAACATTGGTGTCAAGATCATCATCCTGAACAACGAGGAGCAGGGCATGGTCACGCAGTGGCAGTCCCTCTTCTTCCAAGACCGCTTCTCGCACACCCACCAAAAGAACGCCGACTTCGTCAAACTTGGCGATGCCATGGGTGTCAAGGCTGACCGTGTTGTGAAGCCTGAGGAGCTCGAGGCCAAGTTGAAGTGGCTCATTGAGACGGATGGACCGGCTCTCCTCGAGGTCGTTACTGACCAGAAGGTGCCCGTCTTGCCCATGGTGCCTGCGGGAAGCGCCCTCCACGAATTCCTTGTGTACGATGCCGGTAAGTGATTTTGCCCCTGTTATTCCAGGCCAGATTTTGACAGTTTTCAGACAAGGAGAAGGCACGCAGAGAGCAAACCCGCCGCCGTTCCGGCAGGTAATGGCATCTTAATGAACTGGCGATCCAACATCGTGTTTGGTCAAACGGGAGGCTTGTTGAGGTGACATGAAAAAAATTCCTTGACTTTATTTGGAGGCTGAAAAGACATCTATTGAGGATTGTGCACGGCGATTCAGCCACACGGAGGTGCCGTTTTATTTCTCGCTTTGTATCTTTCTCTGGTCTCTTTTTGCGCGGGTTTCCCCCTCTCGCAGGCGTTTTCTTTCCGCTGTCCATGTTTTTGAGGGTTGCGACATGAGCGTCTGCACCGGATTCTGGTGGGGTTGAAGCTTTGCTTGGTTGACGAGTTACTGGAGGGCTCTCATCAAGGGCATGCTGGATGGGTTCTTCAACAAGGTGGGATATGAAAAGTTGTCAATACAGAGACGAGCAGTGCGCCCGTCCAATGTTGGATAAATGACTCAAAAGAAGGTACGAGATTGACGCAACAACCCTCTCAAGCAGTGCCCTGCCAAGTGACTCCAGTTGCTTGTCCAGGTCGTCATACCGCGCTCGATTGAACGCTTCCACGGGTGTTTCAATCCTCTGTGCCTCCCACCCTCGCTCTTGTAATGACCGCAGAAACTTTTGAGTATGATTGGAATGGTTGATCGTTCACGACACAGGTTTGACAGGTGTCAAAGATAAGCAAGATTTTCACCTGAGGCAGAAGAAAAAATCACGGCACATTATTATCCCACAAGCTCCGAACAGTCACGCCGTCAACCCAGCCACCACCCGTGGTGTCGTTCTTGACAGTGTAACCCACCACCTTGCTCTGCCCAGGAAGCAGTAAAAAGGCATTTTGGTCAAAGTACAGAACAGCGCCTTCGGGGTAATCGAGCCACACCCAGGCTGCCACGCCCTTGGTCGCCGTGACGGTAAACTTTTGCGTGTCGGCAGAGTGACTCAACTCCAGGCCCGGATCAACCAGTTTGGCTTTGGCCAACGAGGTGGGATGGAACCAGTTCTCGTGAGTGAACGTTTGCTGTTGGTCGCTGTTGGGCAGTTTTCCCTCAGCCGACGCGTTGGCGACGAGGATGACGTTTTCTGGGTCGAAGCCGTTGAGGATGTCCTTTGTGTTTGCTTTGAGCACCAGCGTAGTGTTGATGGCACCGACGCTGAACTCGGCCGAGGTGGGCGTGTCAATATCGAGCTTCTTTCCAGACCAGTCATACCATGCGAAGTTGGCCGTGCCGGAAACGTCTGACCAGAGGTCGGACGTCACGTAGACTTCCAGCTCGCCAGTGGTGCGGTTGAAGAAGGGAGAAATGATGACCGGCTGGTAGATGTCTCTTGCGACGTACTGGAAACAGTCAGTCGGGAATTGGGCAACAACAAGCCTTGGTTGGCACACTTACGTGGAGAACTTTCCACCTCCCATCGTACTCGATCCCGGCCCACGTCGGCGTCTGCCAGATATCCTCGAGTTGCCAGTACAGACAGCCAAGTTGCCTCTCAGACATGCCGCTGCCCCGGCGGTAGAACATGATCTGGCTCTGGTAGAAATCCGCTTGGAAAATCTGAGTCGTGTGGCACCAGGCAGAGAAGTTTGCGACCGAGTCTTGTTTGTCCGGGACCGGATACCATCGTTGAGCGGCAACAGTCATTTCGCCCATCCCCTTGGTGGTGTTTTCGAAGTTGGATGTGTTGAGGCCTCCCGGCGGATAGTGGCGATTGCGCAATTGTATTACTGTTGAGTTGAAGTATAAGTCTTCTGGCGAGATGGCCTGGCGCCAACTCTGCAACGAGGGCATCGAGTGGTATCCGAATTCGTTAGAAAACCTTCCTACAGGGTAGGAACTGAAGTTGAATGCCAGGGCAGAGTTGTAGTTGTAGTAATCCGTTTCGCCGTAGATGGAACCGGGCGTCTTGTTTTCATATCTTTCAACGAGGGGCACTGGTAGACTGAAATCGAGTTCAAGATATCCGTTGCTTGTTGAGCTGGGAGCATATGAGATGCTCTTCGAGTTCCCAAAGACGATTGGGACCAGCGTTTCGAGGAAGAGCTTCTCATACTCGGCCACCAGTCTGTCGTACTGGTCTGGCGCAGTTTTCTCGACAATGGATAGCTCCAGATTCTCCAACTCGTTACCTCCAGCCCAAAATGCTAGCGAAGGATGGTGGTTGACCCTGCGGACTTGGTACGTTGCTTCTTCGCTGACATTGTCCAGAAACTCCCGGTCCACAGGGTAAAGAGCGTCACCAAACTCGAATTCACTCCACAATAGAATCCCGAGTTCATCAGCAATGTCGTACATGAAGTCAGGCGAGTATGCACCCGATGACCATACTCTGAGCATATTTTGATTTCCGGCTACGACCGCTTCGAACAGGTCACGGATTCGCGCCTCGGTCACGCGCACCCAGAACGCATCTGGTGGAATAAAGTTGGAGCCCTTTGCATAGAACTCGTGGCCGTTGATTTCAAAGTGCCAGTTGTTGCCCGGTGCAATACCCTGGGCGAGCTGCTGGGCTGTGATGACCCCTTCGTTGAGCACTATCGTCCGAAATCCGACACGCTTTGCGAGAGAGACGATCGTTTTATTCCCCGAGTCCACAATTTCGAGCTCAAGTCGGTAAAGCGTCTGGGGACCCAGTCCGTTCGGCCACCACAGCTGCACGCTCTCGGATGGAATGATGGCTGCTCCGGTGATGACGCCTTGTCCAGTTGTGATGTTGGTCAATGATCCACTGGAGACGGTGGAGTTGTCGGCGTCCAGAAGGCGATAGTTGATCCCGCGATTCGACCCGGACTGGCCCAGATAGTCCACACTTGCATTTAAGACCCACGGCTGCTCCTGGTCCGGCGGCAGATTATTCAATTGGCCCAGTCGGTAAATATCCACGAGTGAATTGCGAACGTAGATTTCTTCGACACCCAACTCGACAACAGAAGCGGGAAGCCATGGGCCAGCAGGGGCAAAAGCCGGTCCCTGAACGCAGTCAACTTTTTGATCATACAGAAGCGGGGATATGTTACCCAATCCCAACCGAAGTCGCTCTGCTCTTTCCTGATGAACTGCCTATTTGGGAATTCGTAGACCATTTCCACTCCATACGGCCATGTTTCTTGACCCGGCTGTGCAGCGATTTCATTGGCGATTTCAGGCGCGCTTCCAAAGTTAAGGCTCAATACAGGATCTTCCGCGCAGGTTTCCAGTATGTTGGTCACGTCGAAATAGTATTGTCGGAATTGGTTGTTTGTGGAGGCCACGTGCTTCCCGCAAAGCTCGATGGTGGAAAATGTGTCAAGTCCATTAAAGACAAGATAGGTGGAGGCAGCGTCTTTGTTCCTGCGTCAGATGTCAATGGGCCAGAGTCTTCGTTGCGTGGGCTTGCTGTCGTGAAACAAGCAGCCGCAGTTTTTGTGCAAAGTTCAGCATGCGACTGGTCTAACAATCCCACGAGAAGCACTCTAATGCTCTTCGTCCGTTTTTTGGTGCACTTCAGACTCTGAAAATGCCGAGCTTAACCTCCGCCCACATGCTGTCCGCCGCTATTTTGTCACTGGGTTGAAGGGAACAGTTTGAAAACTAGCAAACGAAACAGGAACCAAACAAGGACCAAACAGGAAACGGATCAGTCACTTACAGTGAGATGAGTGGTGCTGAAGTATATGTCCAGTTTGACCAGGCGACCCATCGCAAATTGAAGTCGTTCAAGCCAAAGTAAGGGTCTCCAATGACCTGAGCAGCAAACAGCTCAACATGTGCTTGCGAGGGTAATTTTGCAGGAACAGATATGTTCAACAGAGGATTTGACAGCGTCCAGTCCGAGCCAGATAATTCAATGACTCGACATGACGATGGAACTACGGCAACAGTCAGCGCGATGACGGCCTGAGGGGTCCAGCGGCGCATGATCCGCGACGAGAGTGGTTCAAAACAGCAAGAGGAAATTCCAAGATCAACAAGACCCGTAAAGATGGTCAAGGCGACAGCCAAGCAAGCCTTGTACTTAAAAGCATTCATGGCAGAGGGCTTTTCCACAAAAGCGACCGTTACATTCGCTCAAGGCGAGCGGGTAAAAGCAGTGGAAGCACGTAAAGATGGAGACGGAGGCAAGGGTTCCGTGAGGGGCACAAGGGATGGCGAACGAGTGGAGTGAGGGGTAAGGTGAGTTTCCGTCGTGCCCGTTGTTGGCGCCGTTTTGGTGCATAGAGCGTGGCAACATAACCGCAATTGGCATCCTGTCAGGTACCGTTGGACAGGCGGTGGAATGGTCCCAGTCCCCTCACTCAGAGGAGCTCGAGTGCTTGCTGTCATCCCCGGCACGAGCATGGATGCTGCCGAAGAGAAGTTGCCCGATTCGTGCGTCTGCGGCACTTGTCAACCGGTTTTCAGTTTGACGGCACGTCAAGCGAGTCCTAATTCTCACGACATTTGTCAGTGGTGTCGTATTTTGGCGGGGTAAAAGAGATGCTACACAGAGAATGGGACCCACCATCACTTGATTACCTACCCTGCAGGTTTGTTTCCCCGCCGTCTTTCCACGCTTCCAGAAGTTGTTCATCCACTGATGAGTCAAAAGAGTCGTTGAAAAGTGCAAAAAAGATCGTTGGACAAGTTGGGGATTGAACCCAAGACCTCCCGCATCCTTGCGTATTTGAAGGATTTCATGCAAAGCGGGCGCTCTGCCACTGAGCTACATGCCCTTAGCTAGTCGGAAAGTGGATATCGGAGATGGATCCATGTTCCTTGTTGATTTTGGAGGGGATTAATGTGTTTATAATTTAATAGCAAACAAGCGTTGCTCTGAGCGACCCATTCACTTCACAGTTTATTATTCTTTCATCACAGCAAGAGAGCTTCTTCACTACTGATTATATGTAGTCCTTCTTCTCTTCATGTTTTTTCTCTACGTGCTATCACTCGATTATTTCTGAAGGATGTTTCTGTGTCTTTCGCATGGATCCAATGGATTTCGCCATCCATAATACCATCGTCACAAACACGACACAAAAGCTGCGCAACAAGTTGGTTGCAGCTTACCGGGCTCCACCGTGCGACCAGGCGCTTTTGAGCGCAGAGAAAAACAGTCAGCGCAACGGTGTTTGCTTCAGCCAACTTTCTCCGATTCAACAAATTTCCGTCTTGATGCCTAGATGCGCCATTTTTACCCTCGAACTTTGGACATCAGCCATCGCAAACTCCCGAAAAAGACCACAACGTTGGTGCATCGAGGCCCAATCTCTACCCCATTGTCTCTGGTGTGTTTGCTGCCTTCGGCTGGCAGTGAACCCTGTCACCAGGTTGACGGCGGATCTCTACGTTTAACCACTGCCAGTCTGCAGTTCTGACAAGTCAGAGAAAGAGCGACATATTCCAACACAAGGGCAACATGGAAGCTCAAGACATCTTCAATGTGTTCAATTTCCCCAGTACTTAATGGACTACGGTCAAGGCTCGAAGTCGGAATGCATCATCGACATTCAGTTCCCCAAACTTGGCTCTTGGCACTCCACACCCAAACTTGCACCGAAATCATGAATCCATTCCTACCGTTCTGTATAGTCACTTTGATTGCTGCAACGAGCACAGCCGCAGACCGGGCTCTGGAACCCATCCTTGGAAAGACCGTTGGATATTCAAAGGTGTTGAACCACTGCAACTACTCTGTCACTGTGTGGTTATCAGGAGACCTCCAGGAAGAACAGCAAATGAAATGGATACTCAAACCATTGAAAGGGGAGTTCGCGCATCCATACATGACAAAGAACGAATCCGCTGGCATGTCCATCAAGATACGGCGAAACAATAAAGACCATGGGCTCAAAGGCCAGCGTGCACCACTGACGCAGCTTGAATACCGCGCTGCGTTTTCGGGGAACAACAAGACGTTCTATGACATAAGCAGTAAGTCTCGACATGCAATTTCTTCAGTGACGGAGCATCGTAACTGATGCCGATGAACAGACGTCGACTGCGGCGCCAATCCAGGAGTGACAAACAACACTCACACGGCAGGATGGACCAACAGCCAGGACCTGCATCCCGAAAACTGTCCCTTCTGGCGCGATGGATTTGTCCTCGACGTCGAAAGTCCCAATTGCCGGGGCATATCGTGCTTCCCAGGTAGCAAGATGTGCAGCAACGTCTACTATCTCCCCAACGACGACGAGCTGGACGCCGCAGGTGGCAGGCTTCTGCACGACTGCGAAGGTAACAGTTTCAACATGACGCTGCACCTGTGTCCGTGTCACGATCCTGCAGCCCGCGAGTGCTACCTTGCTGCTCAGAGCGGAACTGGCTTCAACTCCAGTCGGAGCGTTGTTTTGCCAAAGGATGGGTTTCCCACGACCCCTATAGATTCTGCCACAGTCTCTCGTCAATCCACGTTTCTTACACTTCCGGGGACGACTCCTTCAGTGAGTCCCCTGAGATCCGAAAGTGACGGCGACAACGAGAATTCAATACTCCATGGGCCAGTTGTCGGACCCGGACCCTTTTGAATTGCAATCACCGTCATCAATAGTGACGTCCCAAGGCAGATCGGCGAACCCCTTTTCAACAATCGGCACAATGATCGACAAGACACTGCTGGACGACAGGAACTCGGACGTTGATCGACCTGCCCACCCATGACGGACCAAGCCAATCAGTTGGGGCCATTTTGTAACCGTCGACTGCCTAGTTTTGGTTCCGAGAAAAATCGGGTGGCGTTGCAAGTCATGTGATGGGCACTGCAGTATATCCGGGCACGAAAAGGTCGATGCCGTCGGGAGTGGCTTGGGATGACGTAGCATCAATATCATCTTTTTGCCGGTTGGCCATCATCGCCATCTGTTTTTTCGCGTGCACTGGACTTGGAGGTAGTCATGTTCAGAATCCAATCATGAGGGGACTCGATTAACTTTGTACATAAAGCATCTAATTCGTCATACCACACCGCCGATGCAGACCTCATCCAACCGCTTCGTACTTTTCGTCGTCAATTTAAAAACTGGCTTACAGCTGACCGGCAGCGTTGAAGTCGACGAGGGCCTCCTGGACGCGCGTCGACATGGTCTTCTCACCCTCGCGGACCCAGACACGGGGGTCGTAGAACTTCTTGTTGGGCTTGTCAGCACCGTCGGGGTTGCCGACTTGGGTCATGATGTAGTCCTTCTTGTTGAGGACGTAGTCACGGATACCGAGGAGGTAGGCCCTGAGCAATCGTTAGAACATGGACCATTGGCTTGGACTTGAATTAACTTACCACTGCAGGTCAGTGTCGAGGTTGACCTTGACGACACCGTAGCTGATGGCCTCCTTGAACTCCTCCTTGGAGGAACCAGAGCCACCGTGGAAGACGAAGAAGACGGGCTTGTCGTCGCTGGCCTTGATGGCGGCCTTGACGTGCTGCTGGTGCTTGGAGAGGAGCTCGGGGTGGAGCTTGACGTTGCCGGGCTTGTAGACACCGTGGACGTTACCGAAGCCGGCCGCGATGGAGAAGAAGGGGGAGACCTTGGAGAGCCTGTTGTGGATGTTGAGGATGTCCTCGGGCTGGGTGTAGAGGGAGTTGTTGTCAACGTCCTCGTTGTTGACACCGTCCTCCTCACCACCAGTGATGCCAATCTCCATCTCGAGCCATTGCTTCATGGGGGCAGCGCGCTCGAGGTACTTGGCGGTGGTCTCAATGTTGTAGTCGACGTCCTCCTCGGACAGGTCGATCATGTGCGAGGACCACAGGGGCTCGCCGTGCAGCTTGAACCAAGCCTCGTCGGCGTCAAGCATGCCGTCGAGCCATGGCAGGAGCTTCTTGGCGCAGTGGTCGGTGTGGAGGACGACGGGAACGCCGTAGGCGGGGGCAATGGCGCGGATGTAGTGGGCGGCAGCAATGGCACCAGCAATGGAGGCCTTCTGGTCCTTGTTGTCGACACCCTTGCCGGCGAAGTAGGCGGCACCACCCTGCGAGGTTTGCAGGACGATGGGCGACTTCTTGTCCCTGGCGGCCTCAAGGGCAGCAACAACGGTCGAGGAGCTGGTGACGTTCTGCAGAACGAGTCAGTGGCGAGGAGGGCAGGTGGACGATGCAAGACTTACGATGGCGGGGATGGCAAACTTGTGCTGCTGGCAGTACTTGAAGAGCTTGTAGACGTCGTCGCCGTAGATGACGCCGGCCTTTTTGCTGAGAACGTCGGTGACACCCATGATGATGATGATTTGTAGTTGTTGAAGGTGGTGTGGTGAAGAGTGGTCGTCTAGGGAGGAGTCAGAGGGAGGGGGTATCACTGTGAGGGGAGCGAGGAATTGATGAGGAGAGGAGGGGAGGAGGGGGAGGGGCAGTTTTGAGCTTTTTTAAATCGGTTGGGGGCAGACGGGAGGGTCGCAAGGCGACGGGTTGCGTCAGAGGGTGGAGATGGGAGACAGGGAAGGGGGAACGTACCAGGTGGCTGATGGCGAGTCGATGGATTGAGAGAAAGAGAGAGAGAGGGAGAGAGGGAGAGAACAGAGAGAGAGGAAGGGAATACTGTGGGTGGGGAACTCTTGTGTCATGGCATGGCGGGGCGCGGCTCTGCGTCGGCCTCAATCGGACTCTCGCCCACCACACCACCTCAGCCCAGCCTGCCGCCGCGCTCACTTCATCTCTGCTGCCCTCTTCTGCTCTCTCATCTCACCGTTCCACCTGTTTCGCGATAGCGGGTCTCTTCTTTTCTTCGCGCTTCCTTTTCCACTTGCCGGTCGCCCGCGCCTCGGTCCGGCTCTCTCTCAGATGTCCGGACCCTTAGGTTGGGTTGTGCGTCCGACGAGACCCTGACACCCGTCTTCTGCCGTACAAGAAGCAGCCATGCCCTCAGGTCAGACGCATTTAGGTCAGACGCATTCAGCCAGAAGCCGGGGCCCGGACGGGGACGACATCCAGGGCAGAGGGAGCACGGCACGGCGGCGGCGGGAGGATCCGACGGCTTGTTTCGGGGCGTGGCAGGGAGTGACGGACCTGAAGTCGTGAAGGCCGATGGCAATGAATTGTTGCTGAAATGACGGGCACAAGCGCTGGCCTCGGGGGAATGTCTCCGTCTGGTCGGCAGCGTCTGGTAAGGTATCGTACGGAGTAGCGGAGCTGTGCGGCAACGGCCGTGACAACAAAACCGTCTGGGTGGCTGCCATTTGATCCGAACGGCCAGCTTCCCGTGCGCTGCGCTGCGCTGCGTCCCTCCCTCCTCCTCCTCCTCCTCCTCCATCAGCTAGCTAGCAAAGCAATGGATCATGATCTTCCTTCGATGATTCTCCTCTGCCTCTCTCCCTCAATCCACCTCCCTTGATCCTACCCTCTCCTTCATCTCCTTGATGCCCGTCCGCCCTAACCCTCGGATCTGGTCCCTCGTCGAGCCGCAAGACGCGCCGCCATGCCCGACAAACCTCTGACCATTGCGACCTACGCCGCCGGCGCGTCCCTGGCTGCCATAACCCTCGTCTACGTCTTTGGCCCTACCTTCTTCCTCGACGACGACGCCGCCAATTCGGCGCGCAAAAAGGGCGTCGTCGGCCTCGCTAACCCAGCCAACGACTGCTTCATAAACTCGGTCCTCCAGGCCTTGGCCGGCCTGCCGCACCTGCGAATCTATCTCATCAGAGAGACCCACCGCCGCAATCTCGACGGGCCCGACGTTTACAAAGTTCCGCCTTCGGACCACGCCGACGAATCAGCCCCCGCCAAGAGGGACGCCGCCGC